GGCGCCCGCGGTAAGTCAGGGCCGGCAACCCCCCCCCCCCCAGCAACGCGACGGCGGTGGAGAGGCAGAGAAACCGAGCGGCCGTCGTGCTGTTGCCGGCCAAACCTTGGCTCGGGCAAATAGAGGAGCCACGGCTAATGGTGTCTGGGCCACCGGCTTGATTCGGGGCTCACTGTGCATAAGAGCAACTTCTCATCTTTAAAAACGATTGCCTTTCATTGTTGTAAGCCGCCTTGGGTCCTTTTCCAGGAGGAAGGCGGGGTAAAAATATTTTTAAATAAATAAAAACCATGCCAGAACAATACCCTTTCAGCGCGTCCCTATGATTTCCTTGCACCTCCGCAAACTGGGGAAGGGGTGCCGGACCATTACTGGGACCGCTGGGAGCCGGCTGAGGCCCATCAGCCGCGGGTGTAAAGAAGGGATTTTAGGAGATTATTTATTTGCTTGCTTATTCAATTAAATCACTTATAGCCCGTCATATATTACGGGATCGTGTGTCCTTTTTTTAAAAAAAACAAAACCCTGATTGATCTATCACCGGGGAGGGGGATTTATTGGAGCGCTGAAAAAGAAATCTACCTGCAACTCCTCCCCCATTGTTTGTTTGTTCTCCCCCCTCCATCTGTAGCTGTCGAAGAAACCCAGGCGAGTCCAGAGGGGGCGTCTGGGCAGGTGGAGGACCTAGAAGATGGTAGCCCGGAGGACGGAGGCAGCCAATATCTGCCGCTGACAGCGCGCAGGGCCCGCACTGTCTTCACCTCGGAACAGCTGGAGGTGCTGGAGGAAACCTTCCGACGAAAAAGCTACGTGGGAGCGGAGGAAAGAGGTAGCCTGGCTGCTTCTCTGAATCTCACCGAGACCCAAGTGAGTTGGGAGAGACGTTTCCCCTTATCTGAAAGCAGGAGGGCGGAGCAAAGTCGTCATCTTTGCTCTTGGGACAGTGGTTCAAAGTTATCTCGCTTTGGTTTTTTTTTTTTTAAAGAAACTTAGAGTTGATGAGTACTGTGGTTGGGAATGTAATTGAGCGGGCTGAAGGGGAGGGGGGAGAGAGTTTTAATTCTGTTTTTATTTTAAATTGGCAAAATTATCTGCATTTTGTATGTATTGGAATAGCCCTTATAGCAGTGGTCCCCAAACTTGGGCCTCCAGATGTTCTTGGACTTCAACTCCCAGAAATCCTGGCCAGCAGAAGTGGTGGTGAAGGTTTCTGGGAGTTGTAGTTCAAGAACATCTGGAGGCCCAAGGTTGGGGACCACTGCGCTTATAGGAAGGATGAGAATGATGTAGATTGTGCAGCCTGCA